AGTGTGTGGAATGGTGTCACCCACACTTGTGGAGGATCTTCCCTTCTCCATCAAACCAACAAACTCCACAGATACACCCAGGTTTCCATGGGTGATTGTAAATTCAGTCAAGTTGACAACGAAGATTAACCGTCGTATCTATTATATAGTTCATGCTGATGCTGATCCCAGACTCCCTGAGGGTCAGCTCACTGTCAGGGCTAGACTCACTGTAGGTTTTTAATTTCTTTGCCGTTTTGGGGGGTGGTGGATCGGGGTATGTGTCCTAGTGGACAATGCTCAGGTTACTGGGGATGTGACCTGGAGAGGACTGTGGAGTACTGACCTTTGCTGGCATTTGCTCTGCTCTGTGCTTCCCTGTGGTAGATGTACCCTAGTCAGATCCCAAAGCACAAGGACTGCTAATCTTGGATGGAACTTCAGGGCCGTGGACCAAAATAAACCATTTTCTTCATTAGTTAATGGTCTCAGGTATTTTGATTTAGGAATAGAAGATTGACCAACACAAGGAAATATGTGCATGCCTTTCTGCCCTGGTAATGCCTAACCGACAGGTTATACCATGCAGCTTTGGTTTATTACATTCCAATTACATTAATTGGGTGACTTTGCTCTGTCTTTATTCTGTTTACAGTGCCATACACAATTCATGTGCAATTCAAATTTTCATTTGTTTCAGATTGTTACTGTAACATCAGGCATATGGAAATCTACTGATTGATAGATATTTATTTATATGATTTGATCTATCTGTTAGTTTTTCGGCTGCGTTGTGTGCTTACCCTACAAGGAAATGCCATGAAACATGACAGAATCCGCTAACAAGAGTTTTATTAAAGGGACAGAGAGTGAACAGGCCTGCGGGAAACACGTGTGTGGGGAAGAGGGAACCGGGAACATGGCGCCAGATTTTAAAGGCTGGGCGTGGACCGATCAGCGTCACTACTACACGCAAGCGCGTAGATCACATGGCCACGTTGCGCGCTTACGTGACTAGTGGGACGTCACGTCACGGATCTTGGTCACGCGAGATGCCCTGACCCGGAAATGGCTATCCTGACCTGGACCTAGCTAGGCGGAAGTGTCCGCCAGGCATATGCAAACACGCCTGACCGTGGGGGCTTGTTGTAAATCTTTCACTATCTACTTACTGTTGTCTTTTTTGAATGTTAATCTCCCTTTGATCTAGAACATTCAATGGCAGATAATGATATTCCTAAGCACTCACTCACATCATGCATTTGGTGTATGCATTTTATTTTACTTGAAACAGAAGATAATAACTTTCATATGCTGCAACAAGGTCATATTTGTCAAAGCCAACTGGTTTTTCCTGTTTATTTTGGTCTGCTATATTCTTTGTTTTTAGTGCCCTTTTTCTCGGGTTGTCTCTAGCTAGCTTTGTGTGATTTGTGGTCAGTGTGTGGAGTTTCTCTGTGGTTTTGTCAGTTCTTGGTCGCGGTCTGTCCTGTGCTCTGAGGCTAGAAAACCTTTCAGTGGGGTGTGTCAGGAATTCAGAGAATAAAAGTGCAAGCGCCTTTGGGTTTTGTTCTGCCCTTCCACCGTTTCTGGACTGTGTCATTTGCCTTTGTTTCCTAAGTGTGTTTTAGCTAGCTGCAGCCTCAGAAGGGAAGTCATGCATGCTCTCCCTGTGGGCAATAGGCGGGGCGGGGTGGGGGTGGGGTCATGCTTTAACTGAGGGCAGGGGTGGGAAAAGCCAGCTTCCTTTCTACTCCTGCTGAGGGTGAGTAAGGTGAGCCTTACCCAAAAAGTCCTTTCCACCCTCTGTTTACTTCACATTTATTGATTCTCTCTTGGTCCTGAAGCCAGAGCCAAGGCAGGAGAGAGACAGGCAGGGCAGCCTCAGGTGAGGGCAGTGGAAGGCGTGATGGTGGCTGGCTTGTGCTTGAGGCTGTGGTCACCCCACCTGTTCTGTGGTTACCTGTTTTCTTACTCAGGCAGATGGTGGAGGTCAGAGGGGACCCCACTCCAGCTTTGGAGGAGTCAGTTGAGTTGATCCTTCAGCCATCCTGCCGTGCACTGAAATTTGGAAAGTCAGCTCCGTGTGAAGTTACCGAATCGGTTAAACTGGCAAATGCTCTGGCAAATGCTCGGTTGTGTCCTTCACCACAAAAGAACTCCTCCCTCCTCCTCTCCCCTCCATCCCCCCTCCCTGTAGCAGGAATCTTAAAGAGTCTTATTAGTAAAAACAAACCTGGAGCCAGGTATTGGGGTAAATGCTGGAAGATCAGAGAAGCAGAACAAGCCACAGCTTCCTCACCTCACCAATTCCTCAGCTGATCCTGTTTCCTCAGACTGGAAGCTTCTGTGTCCTTATCCAAATGGATCTCAGCTGAACTGCTGCTAAAAGTCTAAAAGCTTAACCAGCTCTAGTTCCTGGTCCTCACGCCTTATATACCTTTCTGCTTCCTGCCATCACTTCCTGGGATTAAAGGCATGTGTCACCATGCCTGACTGTTTCCAGTGTGGCCTTGAATTCACAGAGATCCAGATGGATCTCTGCCTCTGGAATGCTAGGATTAAAGGCATGTGCTACCACTGCCTAACCTCTATGTTTAATATTATGGCTGTTCTGTTCTTTTCTCTGACCCCCAGATAAGTTTATTGGGGTGCACAATATATCAACCACACCTCCCTCCCTTTTCTTTTCTTGTCTTTCTTTCTTTCTTTCTTTCTTTCTTTCTTTCTTTCTTTCTTTCTCTCTCTCTCTCTTTCTTTCTTTCTTTCCTTTTTCTGTTCTTTCTTTCTCTTTTTCTTTCTTTCTTTTTTTTGATATAGGGCTTCTCTACATAATCCTGGCTGTCACAGAACTCTCCGGGTAGACCAGGCTGGCTTTGAATTCAGAGTTCCACTTGCCTCTGCCTTCCGAGTACTGATATTAAAGACATGCACTACCACACCTGACTTCTTATTTTGATTCTTTGAAGAAATGAGTATTTAGATTTATTTATTTTTATCTTATGTGTATGGGTGTTTTACCTGCACTGTATGTCTGTGTACCATGTGCCTGCCTGGTGCCCAGGCAGGCCAGAAGAGAATGCTGTATCCCCTAGAACTGGAGTTACAGATGGTTGCAAGCTGCCATGTAGGGCTGGGAATTGAACTCGGGTCTTTTGGAAGAGCAACAAATGCTCTTAACCACAGAGTCATCTCTCCAGCCCCTTACCTCAGTTCTGATGACAGCTCTCTCTCTCTGGTTCCATGGATAGCCTTGAAGTTCCCCATCTTGCCACCTCATGCGGGCTTTATTTTAATAATGGTTGTTTCACAGCTCACAGGAAAACATCTGCCTTCCAGGAACTCTCAGGCTTCAGCCAAGAGACGAATTTTCCAGTCAGCCAGGAGCATCCAGACCCTGAGCTGGAAGGTACCTCCTTTCCCTGCTGTAGAAGGAGCACCAGCTCCTCAGCCCATACCTGTGGCAGATCAGCCCAGGAGAGGCCATGGATTTCCCCCCACAGTGAGCGCAGGCTTGGCGGTGCTCTGGGGGTGGCGGGGTGGAGCCTGTCTATGGCTGTGAGTGCTGTAGCTGTTGACCAGCATCAGCACTGAGGAGACTCTTACACCAGGTCCCCCACCTTAAAGGGAGGTAGGGACCCTGGGTCAAGTTCTGATTTGAGTTCCTGGACAAGAAGTTCCCCAGACCCTCCCCTCGTCTGTCCTGCTATTCTGCCATGGCATAAATTGGCCCTCAGCTATTTAATTGTCTCCCCTCAGTACCTAGTTATTTCCCATAAAGCCAAAATTCAGGAACAGGAAGTTTCTGGGACATAAAAGGTCCCGGGGGATGGCTGACCTAGGAAACAGAGCTCCTAAATGCAAAACACACTTCTGAAGCCTGGCTTTCGCTTTTCTTCTCACTCTGCTGGGCCTCAAGGAACGCTGGGTAACTAGATCCCTCACGGGTGATTAGACTCCTCTGCTGGGTCACTCCACTCTGCATAGTCAGGAGTGAGAGACAAGTTTGGGTCCTGGACAAGTAAGGGGCTCTGTCACTCTGCACCAAGTATCCTCCACCCCTTCCTGTTAACAGCTGGGCTGCTCCATTGCAGCACTTCCCACATTGGTGCTAAGGGGACCCCAGACCCTAGGAATTCTGGGTGCATTCAAATCCACTATGGCGGTTTGGGAGGAAAAGAATTGCAGGGCGTGGGAACAAGTTCTCCAGACATGGGGAAAGGCTGGGTGGACTCTGAGGGACTGACTTGGGAACTGAAAGCAAGTACTCTTGAGAAGGGACCACTGAGATGAGCTGTCAGCATCGCTCTGGGGACTCCAAGAGACTCGCAAACTTGAGGTACAAGCATGGACGTGGCCGCCACCACACCTGGGTCGAGTCTGTGGCAAGATCTACCAGGAGAGGGTGAGTGACTCCTCTGCACAAGGATGCTGCTGCACAGCCAAGGTTACAGGAGCTGGGAGGTCCAGACTCCCCAGAACCTTGCAGAACTTCCTTTGGGTTTGCTGCTTGCCTCACTCATGAAAGCAAGTACCAAGGGCATTGTGTGGCCCTCATCCTAAACTTCTCACCGTAGAGTCTGAAGCAAACACATGTGTTGCTGCTGGAAGCCAGAAGGTAAGAGAAGGGCCAGAGAAGAGCTTCCATCACAGAACCCAGTGTGTTATGTCTGAGCTCATTCCAGGAGCCCAGAGCCTCAACTCAGAGGTCCTCATAGAACTGGGATGCAGCTTGTCTGGATAGAATGTGCATAGGAACCTCAGCTGGTAATACCTCAGTGGACTGGACACTCCCTGGATCATTGTTCTGGATCATTTCTGGGCATTTTGGGGACAGGAGCCAGAAGTGAGCAAAGCTCACCCCCCCACCCCCAACCCACTGAGAACTCTGGTCAGTCATTGCCCACTGCAGGTGGCCAGAAACCTGACGAGTTGAGGGCACCTTGCTGGCATCGGACTGGGAAGACGCACGATGAGCTCAGTTGAAGATTGGTTCAGGGACAGAGAGTCACAGCACAGTGGCCAGCACACGCACTTTATTGAATCCACTGTGGACAGATGTGGGAGGGTAACAGTTGCATATGTGAGGGGCAAAGGGTCAGGGCTAAGACTAGGGTGTGGGGCGATTGTAGACAGCGGAACACAAGGTAGGACTAGAAGGCTCTGGAACCTATTATTGTCTGCCAGAATTCTGCAAGATGGCAAATGCCTGGACGTAAACAATGATGAAGACAATGATCATAAGGATGCTGAAGACCATGGCACAGATGTTGAGGCACTTGGCAGTGGAGGCGTGGGCCTGGGCCCCAGTCATATCGCCCACCATCTTCCTGTCCCTAGACTGGAGCAGAGCAGATGGTCAGTGGCCCCGGAGCCAGTCAACTGAGAGACAAGTGTTCTGACTCAATTCTCCCATTATCTTCCCAGCATTCCCTTTACCTTTCAGGCCAGGGACCTTCTTCTACTTTCACACACTCAAGACTATCCCAAGAGACCTAGCACTAATTTACCCCACTGTTTCCTGTGAGCCCCTTGTGTGCTTTCTATCCAGCCTGGAATCCTAGTCTCCAGGTTGAAGGGACATTCCAGGAACCAGCAAGTAAGGAAAATTCTTCTAGGCTATAGGCTAGGATGGAGATACCCTGATCCAGGGATCCCCAGGCACCTCCCTTGTGATTACCTGGACATTCCCCAACACACACGCATACACACACACACACACACACACACACACACACACACACACAGATGATGCATATAAACTCACACACTGACACAAGATCCTCCCCACCCAGCAACACCCCAGGTACCATCGGAGCAAGACACGCTTGAGGTTCAAATACAATACCTTCACAGAGTAGGCATACGCTACGAAACCCAGGCAGCAGAAGTTCAAGAAGAGTGCATTGAACGTGGACCAGACCACATGATCGGGCTGGGAGATCTCACCAGGCATGTTGATAGTGGTGGTTGTTGTAGAAGTTGAGACTTGGGGTACCTCCAGTGCAACCACCTGTGGGTGCTCCTTAGGCATCTCTTGGCTTTTGAGGCTGTAAGAGCCGTGAATAAAAAAGGAAATGGGAAATGTGGCTCACGCTGAGAAGTCTGGCCTGCCTTTTCCCCAATGGGGTCTATTTCTCGGAAAACTCCTTATTTTTGTAAGCCGGTGTGTTTTCTAGGACCTAAGAGTAAGAACAAATAATGGTTTCAAGTTACCACTAGGGCCGTGTGCAGGGAGGGCCACTCCTAGGCCTTTTCAAGCCCTTGGAAGGAATCCCCAGAGGCTGGAGGGAAGCAGCCCACCCTCCACTGGGGAGAAGAAATGACATCAGTAATCCCAAGTGTGTGGGTTACAGTAAGTAGACGGGAGCAGCATGACCACCCTGTAGTGTGCTTTGAGGGATGATGACTTTTTGTTTTGTTTTTCAAGATAGGGTTTCTCTGTGTAACAGACCTGGCTGTACTGGAACTTGCTTTGTAGACCAGGCTGGCCTCGAACTCACAGAGATCCACCTGGCTCTGCCTCCCGAGTGCTGGGATTAAAGGCGTGCGCCACCACCACCTGACTGAATGATGACTTTTTTGTATGTTTGGTTGGTTGGTTTTAACCTAACTCCTGTATGTTGTAATAGACAATGAGATACAAATGGTCAGAGATTCTGACATCGACCTTCTGTCCAAACAGGCCCGAGAGCTCATGATCCTGTATTTTTAGCTGATCTGCTTTTGCCTTTGGACACTCATTCCAGAAGCTGAAGTTGAAAGAAAAACAATGGCCTCTAGGACTGGAATTCCCCAGAGATAACTGTACCCGCATCCTGGCCAAAGCAGCTGCATGTGGTTGAAAGGGAGTGGGGTATATCAGAATGACTTACAGGCCGTGGTCCAAGTAGTCCAACAGTGGCTGTGTCCTGATGGAAAGGCCAAAGATCCAGTAGTTGTCCACAAACCAAATGTGTCAGCTGCCTCAATTTGGTGCTAGAGTCCCAGGGAGGTCCTAGGGAGCTACGCTGGAATCCTGAAGAAGTAGGTTCTAATACCAGCAAAGGAATGCCCCAGGAGCAGGAGAGATGAACTTGCCAGTGAGAATGAGTGCGAGAAGGCAAAAAACAAAAGCTTCCTTCTTCTATGTCCTTTTATGTGGGCTGCCACCAGAAGGTGTGGCCCAGATTTAGGGTGGGTCTTCTGATCTCAAATAACACCCCCCCCCAAAAAAAAATCCCTCCTGCTTGGATATCGGTTAATTCTAGATGTAGTCAGGTTGATAAGTAACGTTAGTCATCACAGCATATATGAACCTTCTTGAATACACTGGCATCATCAAGACCACACCACCGCCTCAAGTCCTCACTTGGTGCTAAGTGGCATCGCCTTACCTCCTTAATGTAGAAAATAGGAAGCGACAGAGCCACTCCCCTCCCTCATGGCCCCAAACCTCCATGCTGTTTCCCCTTTCCCTCTGAAGTAAAAGCCCCTAATAAAAACCTTGTCTGGGAACTGCCTTCTACCTCTGTGTCCATTTCCACCTCTGAAGATCCTGGAGCCTGCAGCAACCTGATTTAAACTTTGCAAAACCATCAGCACTTAATTTTTACTTACAATTGGCATTTCAGATGCAAGGGGTGACCAGCATTTAATACTACTTTCTGGGAAAACCTATCTACATAACACCTGTACAGCAGGCCAACAGAGGTCTAAGGGAGGCAGCTTCAGATCTTTCGGTGAAGAAACACTGAACTGCGTTGTGGAGGACGGCAGAGCCTTCAGGTCAGGCCGGAGGAGAGAGGGGCACCAGGAGGCAAAGCTGTGGGCAGCTCTCCCACAGCTGCCTTATGCTGATTGGCTCTTCCCAGGCAATGCCACCACCTTTGTTTGGGTTTGATCACGTTCCAAGAATGGGGACCAAAGGCAAGGTGTCTTAGTTAGGTATGTATTGCTGTGAAGAGACACCATGACTACGGCAACTCTTTTTTTTTTTTTTTTTAATTTTAGAAGCATAAATATTTATTTGTAACAAAGGAGTTTGTGTACAGTTTTTGAAAATCTACAACTTCTTGTTAAATTCACATTTGCACTTCATTTTTTTAAACAAACTTTTATAATCATTTTATGCAGAGATAGATATGTAAATACAACATCGAGTTCAGTGGTCCTTCAGCATTTTCCACTAAAATGTTTCTTTTTAACATAAAAATGGGTTATAATTCCAAAGTCCAGAGTTATTTGAAACTGGAAAATATTTTCTCTGTAGAAAATAGTAAAAATAATAACATTTCCCAATAAGCCCTTTTAAGCCAAATAATAGCTGAATTATACATATAAACATTGATTAGATTCTGGGATACAGAAGAAACCTATCTTCATCTGTTCAGAGAGCTATGTTTTCCTTAAGTTGTGTAAGTGAGATTCCTATTCATCTTCCCCTTCACTGTTTGATTTACGGTAGACATTTTTCTATAGGCTAATCCGTAATCTAAAAAGATTTTAGCCTCCCATCCTGAAAGTACAATCAGGATTTTCTTTCATCAGGTTGATACTGTCAATGCATTAGGACCATATCTCACCACTGAAAGCACCAGGAAGTGGTATCCATTGCGATGCCTCTTACCCTCTTACCTGGATCCCACTCTCCATTTCAGCTCACCTCTGGGATGCATTCTCAAGAACTGATCTAAATTTGATCTTCAGACCCTCATCTTTGATAAGGATGCCATTTATGCCTTACTGGGCTCTCTGGTACTCACCCATCCTTCTCAAATTCAGCCCAATATGACATCCATGAAGACTCTTCCTTTGGACATATTCCACCTTGTCTGGTACCAGCCACCCCTCTACCTGGCAATCCTGCTCCTTCTTCCCCATCTTTGACCTTTCCCTCTTCCCGGTCTCCCTCCTCCCCACCTGCAGAACTCTTCCCAACTGCTCCCCCTCCTTGTCCACATACACACACTCTCTCACACATATTTGCTTGCGACGTTCCTATTAGCTAACTCAAGGAACAAGTAAAAGCATCCCCCTTTTCTCAGAGGACATGCCTTCCCTTCCTGAGGTGGCGAATGAAGACCGTAGTGTCCCCCAGATAAGAGGAAACGCCCCCTTCCCCTTATCTCACCTATCCGGAATACCATGCTCCAGCCTGCCATCACTGGTCCCAGGTGCAAGGCTCCTGTCCATGTTGTACTATTGAACATCATTTCTTTCTCTTTTCTTACCCTTCTGCCCCCTAGGTAAAGCAGCTGTTGGCTGTGTCCCAGTTCTTCAGGGGAGCAGATGTCTTCCGTATTCTAAGTTGTAGTTACAGAGTTAACATGTTGCAATTATAGAGTTAACATGTAAAATTTTCAGGCACACTGTGTCTTCCCTTCTGCCTTTATCACTAAGTTCTAAGTTCACTATCCAAGGTAATTGTAAACTTTATTATCTTGATATCTATTGCTGGAGTGTAACTGTTAGACTCTTGGGGGACCAAAGAGGGAAAAATGTAAAAGTACCTTAAAAAAAAAAGTCTAAGCAGCTGTAAAGCCTGCCTAGAACCAATGACAGACAATAACTTTACAGTTTCACAACATGTGGACAGGTAATTATTACATTGTTACAGCGTTCGAGACCACCGGGGAAAACAAAGACCCTCAGACTCAATTCAGACTTTAATTATCCAAATTTATTAAAGCTGCTAGCAGGGTCGCAGTCTCTAACCAAATCAGAGATGCCCTGCCTGGAGGCTAGTGAAAGAAGAGCTTTTAAAGGTGAGAACCGCAAGATGTCCCTGAATATCAGCTCAAGCAAGCTACAGGAGCCAAAGAGCCTTTCTCCTCTGGCAAGATTCGGCAGTCAGGTGACCTTAACATAGTCCTTGAATATTTGCATAAGCTGGTTACAGAAGCCAAACCAGCAGTTAGTCATACCTTAACAAAGTAGATGGTCACGGCTGCACATTTCTGGGTGTGAGTCACGGAATCAGGGTTGCTGGGAACCTATTTTCCAGAAACTTGAGTCAGAGACAAATGGTTAGTAGGTAGTGAGCTGGGTGCCCAGCACAAAATGAGTGCTATGGGTGTGACTTAGGTTCAATTCTTTTAGTAAATTGTAAATTTGCTTATTATGCTGCTGTCTCATAATAAGATGAATTTTTATATGATAAAATAAGAGTTTGTCTTAAGTAAAATAACCAGATTTTTTTTTTGTTTACTGTTACCAAGGCTAAAACTCAGTGCACTGGTTAAAACTAAAAATCTTCTCAGTTTAAAATGATGGGGTTCTTTAGGATTTTGATTTCTAATGCGCGTTGGTGGTGCACACCTCTAATCCCAGCACAAAGACAGAGGCAGGCAGATCTCTGAGTTCAAGGCCAGCCTCAACTACAGAGGGAGTTCCAAGACAACCAGGGCTACACAGAGCAACCCTGTTAGAAATTGAAGTACTTGTGGAACTGAGTAATAACCACACCAGAACTTACTTACAAAACAAAAACAAACAAACACACAAAACAAAAAACTGTGTTTTTATCTAAGCTTACACGAAAGTTAAAACTAAAATTTAAAATTAAATTTATTACTTCCTCCTTATGGCTGGTACAACTTTCCTTCTGAGTGTTCAACCAACAAAAAACATACAGGTCAAAGCCAATGAGGACCAAAGGGATAATGGGACCCCTGTAAAGGGGCCCTAGAACTCTTGAGTAACCTGTGCTCTCCACCTGAAAGGCCCCGGGAACCCCTGGGGATTGTACTTTAACCCTCCTTCCTGCTGCAAAGTCACCGGAGGGGGAAGGGCCTCCCATGTATTGGAGGAAATTCACAGCCAGCAAGACCCTGGCGCATCCACAGAGGGCGCGCTGGGAGAGGGAAAATGGAGAGTCCCTAGAGGTAACTCCCCAGAGTCTCAGCCGCCTATAACGGAGAGAAAGGTGATTTTCGGCCTCCTACTTGACTTTATTTTTTTGAGACAGGGTCTCTCTCTGTCAGCAATTCTCAGCCTGTGGGTTGCGACCCCCGTAGGGGCCACACTACCGTTTCACAGGGTCATCTCAGGCCATCTGCATGTCGGTATTGCAATTCATCACAGGAGCCAAATCATAGGATGAAGTAACAAAATAATTTTGTGGTTGGGGTTCACTACAACTTGAGGATCGTAGCATTGGGAAGGGTGGGAATTGCTGCTCTCTGCAGTCCTGACTGTCCTGGACCTGGCTGTCTTAGACCAGGCCAACCTCGAACTCAGAGATTTGGGATTAAAGGTGTGTGTCACAACTCCCAGCCCCTACTTGCCTTTTAAACACCTAGATAGGAAGTATAAAAAAATTGATACTATTATATAAAAGTTATTGAAGAGCCCAAGAAAATGAGAAAATTAAATGCTTATAGCTTATGCTCCCTCCCTCCCCCTGCGCCGCCCAGACAGGGTTTCTCTGTGTAGCTTTGCTGGGATTAAAGGCGAGTGCCACCACCATCCAGCTTTATAGTTTATACTTCTGAATGTATTAGGACTGGTAGCTGCTTTGACCTTTTGCCCTGCGTTCTCCCAAGTAGGGGAAAAGCCACTTAAAACTAACCCACAACGATGTAAACATTTTGAACTAACACCTTGTAATCAAAAGTCATAAATCTGGATTCCCCTGTGACCCCAGGTGCCTGGAGAGTGCTAAGTGTTGAGGCAAGGAGACACCCAGAATATTGTAAATCCTCTAGTTCAGGCTCGTCAACATTCCTGAGATACCATAAATCTTTTAGCTTCAGCTTGATCAAGTCCTCATTCCCAAGACACTATGACACCATGATGCCTTATATCTCAAAATGTACTTTCTACCTTGTGTATAATAACTCTAAAAATAAAAATAAACTTGTGGCCCTTTCTTGGGGCTACAGAGTCAAATTATTCTCTGTAGCCCTAACTAATTTGAATTTCTTTCCCATGGTGGATTGAATAAACGTTGCTTCTGGTTTTAGACTTCAGTGTTGTGCTCCCTGTTGTTTGTGCAATTCCAGAACCTGACAGTTATCAGACACTGCCTAGATATCTCAAGATGAACTTGTTTAGATAGGGAACCCAGTATTCTTAATGACCTGCATAGACATGCTTTCAGATGA